TATTAAAGATTTCTCGAGACAGCCTTCTCAGAAAGAGAACTATCCCAACACAACCTGGACAGGTCACAACCTTGTATACAGTATGTGTAGGGCCCAGCTTTCCCTGTTTCTGTTTAGAATATATGCCATGTCAAGTGATTATTTCAATCATAAAGAACTTATGATGAGATGTGGATTGCGCTGGATTCTGCTTGCGGGGTCACTCACCGGACTGTGACTCAAATTCGCCCATGTTCTGTATCCCGTTCTCTCTGAATGGTACATTTATTATAAGGTTGCTTAAGCATGCAGTTCACAGGAAGGTATCAAATAATAACAGCCCTTGTGCAGCAGGGTAAACCAGATCAGTGGCCTAAGCTGTTTGCTCACTTCAGAATAGAGGGAAAGTGCATGGAATGTGTATGGAGTATGGAGGCACTTCTTGGAGTTATCTTTAAAGTGTGGGAAACCCCTGCTACATGGGAGGCAGCGACGGTGGGGGGGGGCTTTTGGAGCAGCCGTCATGAAAAACAACATTTTTCCGTATTACTGTGTTTTGCCCAAGGAAACACTTGGACAAGACAGAAGAATATTAAGCAGAGAAAGTGCAGATCTATAAATTGTGTTCTGTTCCTGATTCGGATCCTTCACGCTATCCAGGAGAATCATACTTAGTGAGGAGAGAGATGTGAGATCAGTCTCCAGACCCCCAGTGATCTTCATCCTCTTGCTTGTGTTTAGAAATGAATGTGTGTGTCAGAAGACTCTCACTTCCTTCTGAGATATACATACAGGTCATTTACTGTCCTTTAAGGACCTAAGAACCTAAGGTCACAGGATGTCCTTGAGTCTAACTAGCTCGTTTGGTTGCTAGTAGGTGATAGGTCCAAGGATTCTGTCTGGCTGTTTCTTGAAGGTGTCACCCTCAACAATGTGGTTGGGTAGTTTATACCACACTCCCACATCCTTTTGTGTAAAGAAATTCCTCCTGGTCCTAAGAGTGCCCTTGCTCCTTTTTGACACCCTAGTTCTGCAACCTCTCCCTCATAGCCTACCTAAACATAAACGTACCTCACTAGTTTAAAGCATCATTAAGCCATGAGTGGACATTAGAGCTCATCTAACTAGCCATTTTAAGGAACATATTGCTGACTCAGTAAATAATATAGGCTTGGGTCTTAATATACAGAGACAGCAAAATACTAGAAACTGTGCCACTTACTCCTTTTGGAATCATTTCATGTTTATTTAAATTGTACTAGCTTATCTGCTGTAAGGTTTCAGATTTGCATTTTGATTTAGTTGTGCATTTTGGGGTTGTCAGGGGGATTTTAGAGGCATATAGGAAAATGGTTTTGACTTGATTCTTTCACTTCCCTGGAATGCCATGCTGCATCATCAGTTTAATGTCTGTTCTTAGTGTTGAAGAAACCAAACCACCTGTTGGTCTTTCATGTGACTTAATAATTGACTACTCTTTATGTGGAATTGACAAAGAGTACCCATTAGTGGAACAGATCAGCCCTCTGTGACTCAGACCTGCATAGCTCTGTCTTTAGAACAGAAAAAAATAATTTAAGTTCAGTAATTTCACATTTTTCTCTCCTTGGTTTGGATCTTTCCTGGTTTGATTGGGTACGGGGTTCACGTGGGTATTTCTGGACATTAGTCCTATGCAGGTGTCAAGATTTTGGAGGTCTCTTTCCTGATACTGACACATTGCTGTTGGTCTCTATTTACAGTAGGAACCTTAGACTTTTGTAGAATGATTCCAGAAACAAACAGGCAAATCTCCAATGCAGGGCCATGTTCAGGATTTTAAAGAGGGACCAGGTAATTACACTGATACCAGTTGGGCAGCCGTCCTGTAGTTTTTTTAGAAATGCGAAAAAGGGTATGAAATAAATTCTGATTGCCGTGGGTCTCCCTGAGTAAATTTTTTTCTGATTTATTTTCAAGTGCAAGTTTCTAATCCCTGCCAATTTATTTAAAGTGTTTATAGAAAATGTTCTGTTTTGGAATGTGAATGTGTTAAAAGGCAGAGATTATGATGTAGGTGGCTTAAACCCTCTGTGTATTTATTGTTATTGCAATGGCTAAGTAATAGACTCACTGTGTGCTCTGTTTCGGAAATGGTCTCTTGGTGATGGCTAAATGATCAATAAAACAGCAGTTTCTGTTCTCCCGCATACCGTGACATCAGTGTTGTTTTGAGTGCTGCTGTGTGAGTCAGACAGCAGGGCGATGGGTAACTAATTAATAAGATGCTATTCACTGGGGTGAGCAAACACCAGCTCAGTTTTGTAAGTCTTCACCTTTGGTGCGGAGTCAGCAATGCAGCATGTGGAAAAAGAGCAGTCTCCTACTTGTGACAGAAATTAAAGCCACCAGGAGTCAAAAGCTATTATGCTGTTGATTCAGTTATCACCACAGAAAAAAAAAACAGAGTCATAAACTGTGGTTGCTGACTGACAGCTATGCCTGCTTTTAAATATTTAAAGTGCAAACAAAAGATGTTGGTCATTGAGTTAAACTGGCAAGAATATGGACGTCAAGGATTGTGGTTCGACAAATCCCTAAATACAGGGAGGCCATCTTTAACATACACAAATTATATCCTAATCCAAGGGCTCTCCATGCATCACTGGTTTCAATGCAGCCAGAAGTTAATCATTCTGTTCTCACTTAAACATGAAACTGTCACTTTTCAGTACAAATGAGGAAATGTGTGTGTTGTACCCGGAGTGTGTAATAATTCGCATTTTTGGTTCTGGTTCGGTGGTATGGTGGATCAAAGACTGTTGGGGAAAAAAGACACAGAAGACAAAGGCTGTTTCTGCTCTCTAATGGACTGAGAATCTTCCTGGTGTTGAAGAACCATGCTGATGGAAATGCTAGACCAGTGATAAAACATAGGACATACTGTTGTCTGTGGCGTTGCAACAGTCAGAGAGAACACATGGGGGTATGTGATGTAGTCCTATAAAATGGTTGAATACAATTCATTTCATAATATTATACAGCTATTACATGCTGTAGGTGTGTACATCTAACGTGTTCTATTAATGTGAGATAAGATTAGGGTTAGGGTTCACTGCTGTCAATGTGGTAACCACCAGGAGTTTACTGGAAGATGACACCTTGGATTCCTTCCTGTCAATCCTTGTAGTTCTTCCTGAGTCGCACATTTGAACACAACAGACAATTTTCAGAACATTTTGCCCGAGCTCACAACTGTGATTAGACTTCAGCTAATTTTCCACATCTATTTTATTAGGAAAAAATACAAAACTGGGTAAAAAATACAGACATCAAGCTTTGCTCTGGAGCAAATAGCTCTTAGATATGCTTCAGTTGGTCAGTTTGAGGACCTTCAGCTGGTGTTTCCTGGGTGACCCTGCAAATGGATTCCCTCTGCACATGGCCCTGATCTACTTTGTTCAAACCTGTCACCCAAAACCTTTTCAATCTGACCTCTGGTCTCCATCAAACTCTCGTTTGCTACTTTGAAGAAGCTTGGTCAGCCCTGCTGCTCCTGGCTCCTTCCCCTCTTGACTTCCAGCAGGTTTGTGTGTTGCCAAGGCGACAGTAAACAGGCCTCTTCTATCTCCTCTGGAGTCTCCTTTGGCCACATGTCAGAAAGGACAGCGTCACGGGCGCCAGGTCTTCACAGTGTATGAGACAGCTGCCTGATCAAGGAAAGATTATTTTGTCTTGGTGATATTGGTGATATTGTACATTACAGTTACTGTACTTCAAACTTCTAACTTCAAACAAAGAGTTTTCAGAAGGATTTAAAATTTGTAAATTATTTTCAGATTGTCTGAATTGTAGAGCCCCTTTCCTCACTGCAGACTGCAGGCCTAATGATATCTAGAATATACATAAAGAAACCTGACCAAAGAAAGTGTGTTCAAAAAGTTGTGCAGATGGCTTCAATTTAGTCATGGAACATTTAAAGTAGCAGTTTTAATGTATTGTAAATGTATCTGCTGTGAATCTGTTTTAATTTTCCAGTATTCCTTTTTTTTCAACCTGCTGCTGAAATGGTATATAAAATGAATTTGTTTTGTGCCGTGTACAGGTTAAGATTACAATGAACACTAAAGTTTGGCTAAACGTATCATTTTGTTTGTTTTAAAATGCAAAACATACAGTAAGATTATTTAGCATGAAGAAAGGATGTTCTCAAAGTTTTCATTTTTGACCATGATCGACTCAGCTTAGCAAAAACGGCAAAATTGGGCCGAATTTCTTTTTCGAGAAAACAACAAAACAACACTTTTCCTGCATTTCATGTGCATCCAAAAGCACAGCGAATTCATCACAAAATGTCTAGGTGTTGTCCAAACTCTAACCCTAACCCTAGCTCAGCCACCAAAACATACTGTATTATCAAAAACCTTGCCTTAAAACTCTGTCTTAAATAATGTACCCAATTGACACCAATTTTGTCAGAGATATTTAAAGTAGCAGTTTTACAGTATTTTAAATGTATCTGCTGTTAATCTGTTTTAATTTTCCAGTATTTCCTTTTTGCAACCTGCTGCTAAAATAGTGTATAATTTGGCCAGTTTTGTGCCGTGTACGGGTTAGGATTACAATCACCACTAAGGTCTGTCCACAACTTGCCAGTGTAACAAGTCTCATTTGGTACCAAGCCTGCTACATTTATTACCTTTGGAACATGGATTGCACTGAATAGTCTGCATCAGACCCTGCACGATGTGCAAAGCCAAGCCTCAAGTCATTGGATGTGTTTGTGCGCTCTCTATGTTGTGCTTAGTATTATACCACTGTATCACATGAGGTACCTTGTGTGTATATATATATGTCCCTGGAAGTAAACAAATGAACAGAAGCTAGAAAATGGACTATCCTAGATCAAGCAAAGTTGGTTTTCAATGTAGTGTCCGTTTGATACCCTCTGAAACTCTTTTGAAAGAACGGTTGCTTGATCAGACCGGTATGACTGGTTCTGTCAGAGCGGACAGATTTATTTAGTCTATCCCATGCGCCAGGCGATGACCCTCATCCAGGACGTGCTGAAGGAGATCAACGAGCTGAAGAGCTCTCGAGATGGCCTGTGGGACGAGACCCGGAGGCTCCGGGTGCAGCTCTCTGAGGTACAGTGCTTCAGTGTGGAACAAGCACAGGCCTGTGGCCGTGTCTGCTGCCATGGCAGCTGATGCAAATGTTACTGCAGTCACCTCCTTAATTATTTAATTGGTAACTAGCATTACCAGTTTAACAGGACAGGTCCCAGTTGGATTGGGGTGCTGTGTCGGGGGGATTGAAACAGGCGATTCCCATGTTTTGGAGTGTAGAGGATTTTTGAGGACACTGGGGAGGAGACGCAGGAGGGCAGGGGGCTCCGTTATGCAGCGCAAGTCTTATACCCAGAGACAGTGCAACTACATACACTGAGACTGAACAACAGGCCAAAGGCTTCAGGCACATCTCAGCTAGTCATTCGACATTTTCTTTTTATCCAATCTGACAAAGTACAATACTACACGATCTCTAATCTGATAATATTGTACTACAAGGGAACACGTTAGACAAAATTTAGCTATGTGAATTAAAGTTCAGAGCTGAGTTCAGAACTGGATGAAGGGAACCCCTTTGTATACTAAAGCTCTTTGGGATCATTTTGGATAAAAAGCATTATATAAATGTGAAGAAATGTAATTTGTAATTATTCTATATGTCCTGATATCCAAAAACTGGATAATGATCAGAATTCTTTAAATTACAGTGCCGTCATTACTCCCCTGTCTGTGTAACCAATGTTTTCTTTCATTTTTTTGCAGCTCAATATGAAGGAGCTGCTGGACAAGACTGCAGCCCTGGAGAAATGCTGCCATCGAGTGGACAACCTGGAGAAATTGCTAGTAGGTTTCTCCAAGGCTGGGAAGAAAATTCTTGTACACGATAAGCTTAGGCAACATCTCTCGAGTATGTCGGTTGCTTCATATCGTAGCATGTTAGGAAATATGGAAGAAACTTACTTATAGAGCGAATTGGAATCTGGTAATGAACATTTCCGTCACTGTTGTAAATTAGGCACAATTCTCCTATCAAAGGGTGGCATGGTGGCGCAGTGGTTAGCATTGCTGTCTTGCTGTGCTGGGGCCCTGGGTTCAGTTCCTGGGGTGCTCTTTGCATAGAGTTTCTATGTTTTCCCTCTGGTGCTGCGGTTTCCCCCGGCAGTCCGAACACAACACTGGAAAGTTCATTGGCTTTGGGAAATCTGGCCCTGGAGTGAGAGTGCGCATGTTTGTGTCTGTGTGCCCTCTGTGATGGACTGGCATCTCGCCCAGGGTGTATTGCAACCACTGCTTGCCCAGGATAGGCTGCCTCTCAACTCGGCATTGGATAAAGTAGTTAGACAACGGTTGAATGGGTGGGCTCCTGTCAGCAGTTCAACTGAATAAAGCTTGTAGCCTCAGTGACAAATGTGTTTCTGTACTTTCTGGATTCAGTTTGGATACCTTGTCCGTCAGACCTCAATGAACTGGTCATGGACGCATCTCAAATCATGTTCTAACATTCCTGAACATGGATAGGGTGTCTTTGTCACGTTTTGGTGAATGCGGAAGAGAAAGAGGAGCAATGGGGCGATCTCCCCTGTTTCTCCAGCATGACCTACAAGCCAGGATGAGCCTGTACCCCGAGGACTTGGACAAGTTCATCACCTGGGACATCCTGCAGGCGACCCTGGTGGACGAGCGGGCCCAGCTGCAAGAGGTACCGCTTAGCTCGTCTGCCGGCGTCCACTGGAAAACGACAGCCCGCTGGCGCACTGTGGTCTGAAGTCATTCGCAAGAATGCATAGCTGGCGAACGCCTCCTTAAGCATTTTCCATCTGTACGCTGCAGAGTCCTTCCGCGTTAAAACGAGCATCCCCATACGTAAGCCGACGTACAGTTTTGCCATAACACATAATACCAATCTGAATGAGAACCAGTGGCAGACCCCACGTGGTGCAGACAGCCAGGTTGCGGTCTGTTTGTGCCTGCTCCTTGTTGTGCCACACCTCCACTCTACAGTTATTTTCACACTCACGTTTGCAGTTAACTCTATTTTTAAGTTTGCAAGTGAAACTCTAGCACTGCACTTCTGTAAAGAATGTCATTAGCAATATTATTTCATATATTAATCATTGATAATGTATATGCATTGATTTTTCTTTTTTCCTTTATATATCCAGCAGCTCAAGGCCCCTCGTTCTAAAGCCCAGACTCCAGATCAGGCTCCAGGCCAGTTTCAGGTCATGCTAGGAGCTCCTTCTGCCACCCCTCCCTCTGCCCAAGAAAGCTCCGGCTCTCCAGCCCAGCCTCAGGCTCCGGAGTCCCAGCCAGAGGCGGAGACACCCTTGCCCTTCGCCAGCCC